GGTGGTGAACAGGACGGATTGTTAAGAGGTGCTGACGGGACTCCAAGGGTTCAGGCTCCCATACCAGGTATGAAGCAACCCCCAAACTTGGCCAATTGAAGGGTTTGGCCAAATCTGGAGGGTTTTGGAGTTCCCTACTCTGCTCTGGGCTCTCTCCTCCCTCTCCTGATGTGGTTTGGGCATCTCTTGGCTTTTTTTCTGGACACATCACACACTCCCCTCCTCCACACTTATAAAAAAATAATAATTATTTTTATTCTTATTATCATTACTTAAATGTGCAATGGTGCAAAATGATTTAAAATTGAATTTGCAGCCCCTCTGATCATCACTCAGGTGTTTTGCCAGAGTGGGGCTGAGACCAGAGGATGCAGCACCAGCTGAAAATGCCACTTCCCTGCTCCATTGGGACCTTCCAGCCTCTCCAGCAGGGGAAAACCTTAACCAGGCTCCGAAAACAGGGGCAGGACAGCTCCTGGACACGTGGGATGAGTTTGCCAAGTCTCATGTGTGGCTCAGGCCCTGGCACAAGGTGAGGATGCTCCATGAGATGCAGCGTTGGCGGCTGTGCCGCCATCCCTGCTCCGGGGACAAGGAACCAGGGAACGTTCTCTGGAGCCCTGGGAGGTCCAGGAGCTCCTGGCACAGCCCAGGATGGGGCTGTCATGGGGGATGATGTTGTGTTTGGGATGGGGAATGGGGAAAAGGGTTTGAAAGCCAAAGAGGCTGAGGTGGAGCGGGGTACCAAGGGAAGTGGGGTGTCAGAGCTGGGAGGGTGTAATTCTGCTCTCTGTCATTTTTGTCTTTTTTTTTTTTCTTTTCTTTTTTTCCCCAACCCAATTGGCTATAAAATTGCTGAGGAGCTGCATTTCCCTCTGCTTAGCAAAATAGAAGTGCCCAAAACCACTTGCATTTGGGGTTTCATTTAATCTCGTCTCACTGAAAGGAAAAACACAGAAACTTGGATGCTCGCGTACGGCGCATTCCGCCGCGTTACATAAACCATTTCAAACTGATTTATTCTAAATGAGTTGTTATAATCAGAATTTTCCTTATGAGCAGCTTTCTTGCAGACGTCAGTATTTCAGGGGGAAAGGGAAAAAAAAAAAAGAAGAAACAACAACAAAAAGAAAAAAACCCCGAGCCCATCGTACGCCCGCTCCAATATTTCAAACTGATTACTTCTAAACACCCGCGCTAAAATTAGGTCTTTGGTGTGCAGTATTGTCAGAGTGGGTGTATTATGATCTGCAGAGAGTATAAAAAGATAAATGAGTTATTTAACCAAGAAAACGACGTCGCTGTAGAAATGTGCTGAGGGAAAGTGTGCAGGGGAGGGGGGGGGGCTCAGGCCCTGCGGGCCCTGGGGCTGCGGCAGCGCCGCGGCGTGAGGGGAACCGGGGGAGAAAGGTGGGGTGGGTGGGAAGGGTCTCTTCTTGGCATTAATGCTGTTCTTTTTGTTGCTATTGTTGTAAAACAGGAGGTTTCCCCCTGCCTGTGTGGGGTCATGAGTTTGGCAGCACCCTCCAGGTGAGAGGGAGGCGGCTGAGGGAGGTGATGGGGGTACCCATGGATGGGCTCTGCCCCAGGGTGTTGAAAATGGCTGTTTGTTGGTGTGTTGGGTTTCTGGGAGCAGCTCTGGGTTTTAAGACTTGTCCTGCCTTCATTTTCTTGGGATGTGTTCCATCCGTAGCGCTGCACCCGCTCACACTCTCTGTGTTTGGCTCTGCACCTCCACCCCCATGGTTTGGTGCTACAGATGCAGGTTGTCCCCAGCGTGGGGACAGCCAGGGAGGTGCTGGGGGCAGGGGCCACCAGCCCAAATTCAGTGGGAGCTATTCCACTTGCTGCAGATTTAGGCGGCCCCAGGCAGATGAACTCAGAATCATGGAATATTCTGAGCTGGAAAGGGACCCACAAGGATCATCGAGTCCAACTCTTAGATGAATGGCCCACACAGGGACTGAACCCACAACCTTGGTGTTATTAGCACCAGGCTCTGGCCAGCTGAGCTCTTCTCAGGGTCATGCTTTTGTTGGCTGGTGCTAAAAATGTTGGCCATGGCAGGAGTTGGTCATTGTAGCAGGAGTTGGCCATGGCAGGGGTTTGTCATTGTAGCAGACTCTGGGGGCTGGGATATCCAGCTGCTCCCCTGTGAACCCGACACCATCCCTACTCTCAGCCACGTGGCAAAGAGAAGGGAGCAAGAGCAGCACCCCGGCAGAGCTGAGCCCCTGGTCACAGCTGGATCCACCCACACATCCCCCTTTCCCGAGGCTGTGCCCGGGGGGCAGCGAGGGGAGGGAGCAGCAGGAGGGTGTGTGCCAGGGGTACTGGGGTGCCACCGCTCCCCTTCCTGCCTCTGAACACGTGAGTGAAGTGTGAGATTGATGCCAGCAGGGCCCGGGGAGCAGATGCCATAAATCACATCCGCGAGCGCTCCCTGTGCCGCCGGCTCAGGAGCACTTCAGGCTGCTCTTATTTATATGCATCTTTTGCACCGAGCCATTTTATAATCCAGAGTGGAACAGCACTCCAGCGCCTGAGACGGCTCAGGGAGACCGTGCAGGACAGAAAACACAAATAAGGGGGGAAGAGTAGGAAGTGCATCACTCCCAACACGAACCGCTGTGCCCGCCGCGCTCCAGGCGCCGACCAGAGAGCACTGGCACCGAACTCACTGTGCCACCAGCACATCCATCAGCCACGAGCAGGGCTGCAGGAGGGGCTTTGGAGAGCTGGTGTAGGGTAGCTTAATGGGTAATAATGATGATAGTTGTGATAATACCACAGGGTTGGTGGAGGGGTGGCAGGGATGGGTTGGAGTTGAGCCCAGCACATGGACGCGTCCTTGGGGTTGGCGAAGGGATGGTGGGGAGTGGCAAGAGTGGGTTGGAGTGATGGCAGGTGGGCACCTCTTTGGGGTGGCACTGGGATGGTGACAGCTCTGGACAGCAGCAGTGGCACGGTGGCAATGAAGACATTCATACAGGGAGGCTGCCACGGGCATGGAGGTACCGAGGGATGTGCTGCAGGAGCGGGGTCAGGTGAGACAGCAACTGGAGTTTTGGCCCCAGTGATCCTGTCTGTGCTGGGGCTGGGATGGGGCAGGGACAGCAGGGTGAGACCCCAGATCCCTGGGGGTGGGTCTGGTCCTTGCTGGGTTCAGGTCCCAGCAACCCTCACCCAACCCTCACCCCCCAGGGCTCTGCTTACTCCGGGAGAGGAGTTGGATCAGTCTAATTCAATGAAAGGACAAAAAGGGGGAGGGAAAAAGCAAAAAACGCCGAGCCACAAACCAAAAGGAGAGATAAATCCAGGAGGGGAATGTAACCTCACTCCCTGGGCCTCACCAGAAGTTACAATACATAAATTATTGCATCTAAAAGCATCTATAATTTCACTTGTGTGTGATTCACCATAACGGGCCGCGGTGCCCTCGGCATCTCCCCCTTTGATTAGACATTTGTACCAAGGCACAGCTTATGCCTAAAATAACATTACTGGAATGGAGACGGACAAGAGAATTCATTTGAATGGAAATCAATTTGATTAGAAAAGTAAATTACCCGCAGTCCATGAGCAGCATATTGCTGGTCGGAATAATAATAATAATAAAAAAAAGTAAAGCGGCGGCAGCAAAGGATCTGAAATGTTTTCACATCTGAGCTGTGATTGCTGCCCACATGGAGACAGGGATGCATCCCCCGGGGCTTGTGCTTGGGATACCCCCAAGGCAGAGCTGTCCCATGTCCCCAGGGTCCCCTGTGCCACCAGGACCCTCTGCAGGGGATGAGCCCCTTCCTGTGCCCCAAAATGATGTGCAGGGTTTGGTCAAAGGGGATGTAAATGGGTTTATGTGGCTGGAGGTGCCTTCAGGATTGTGATTTTATGTATCCAGGGGTGATGCTGGACAGCAGTGTCCCTCCCTCTGTGTCCACCCTCCACTGCCAAAGGTGTCACCAACAAGGTGACAAAGAACCAGAGAGGCCACTGATGCCTGGCAGGATCCCTGGAAGCTCCCTCCAGGTGCCCTTCCCCTGCTCCAGCTGCTGTGCAAGAACGTGGTTGAGCTGCACACTTTGCTGAGCTGTGATATCTTCTAAATAATCAATTGGTATTTAATTCCCATGTGATAACTGTCTTATTAAATCTAAATTTAATGTGTATTTGGGAAACCCTAATTTAAAGTGTTACTGCATGCACCATCTGGTGTGCTCTCTAAATACAAATGCAATAACATAATTCAGAATTACATCATAAAAGTAAGTTATAAGAGATTAAAATGCACAACTATGTTCTTCAGTCAAGGCAGCTTTTATGCTTTTGCTCCTGATTTAGACACAAATCACAGCCCAAGCACCCCTACCCTGATTAAGTGATTTTCTGCAGGGATTTGGGGTTTAATGGTGAGCAGGAGTGCAAGGGAGAGAGGCTGGAGAAGATCAGGAGCCAGCACTGTTGAAGACACTGGAGATGTGGAAATGTTGCCCAGAGAAGCTGTGGCTGCCCCATCCCTGGAAGGGTCCAAGGCCAGGCTGGACAGGACTTGGAGCAACCTGGGCTAGTGGAAGTGTCCCTGCCCATGGCAGAGGGGTTGGAACTGGATGAGTTTTAAGGTCCCTTCCAAGCAAAACCATTCTGGGGTTCTATAATTCCATGAAACTCTCTGCTCACTGCTACTGGAGAAGTTCAGGGCCAGGCACAGGTACAAGAAGACTCAGCAACCCACCAAGCTGCCTTTTGTTGAAAAATCAGTCAAACATAACCCAGAGTTGGGTCCATCAATGATCTTTTATAGTGGCAGTAAATCTAATATCTCTGCAAAACCCCCTATTTTCTCCCTACGCTGAATGAAACATGAGATTCCTTAATAGAGAGGGAAATTAAAATCTAGTTTTATTGCAGTTCCTGTAACTGGTATCTAAGCTATTAATAATCAATCCATTCTTGCTTAAAAGCCAACATTTATCACGCCAGCGAAGAGGAGCTGACGGGCACTGGGGGGAAAGTACAATTGACTGCAATTACACTTTGAAAAATGTTATCTGTGCCACTGACCACTGGGGATAAAGGAGGGGGTTTCAGTTGTTTCTTCGAGCTTCACGTTCTTTTTCCCAACTTTTTTGTTGTTGCTGGGTATTTTTTCCTTTCCTTCACCCTACAGGTCACCTCAGGTTGAGGAAGGGTTGAGAGAAGGGATCTGTGCTGGCCCAAAGTTGTGGGGACCCTCCTTGCTGTGTCCTGGTGAGTGCAGGTGCCATCCCTCTGCTCCTGCCCAGGCTGGGGACATCGTGTCTTCCTCATTCCCACCTGGGGACATCATTCCTGGGGACATCATGCCTTTGTCATCCTCGCTGGGGACATTGTGACTGCAGCCACAAAGGGCACCCCTGGCTGTGTGTTGAGCCCAGAGGGTCCCATTCCCTAATTTAGGATAAAATTTAATTTAATTTAGGGTGCAAACCCATCCAGGAGCAGCACAAGGGCAGTGAGTGCAAGAGAGACTCTAAACCTCTTTTAACAAAACCTCCCCACAAAAGTTTATTAGTTTTATTCCTGCCCTTTCCAACGGGGAGGAAGAGGCTGGTGCAGGAATTGATTTCCTGGAGTTCTTGGTATTAATGAAGCCTCTGACCGTAGATCTCCCCCAGCAATATTCTGCTCCCCACGATAATTCTCCAGGCTCCAAACTTTTCAAATGAGTTTTTGCAATTTAAAATTAATAATTGTTCTGTCTAGAACAAGGATAATTAAATGCCTGTTCATCCTCATTATTGTCAGCCGTGTGATTTGTTGTTTTCTCTGTAATAAAATTAACCGGTTTAACTAATGGGTGCCAAAACTTGATAATTAAAGCTGAGCAAATAATTCGCAACAAATAATTTACCCAGTGGGTTTGAGGGGGTCCACGGTGGGTCTGTGGCTGATGGTGAGGGGCTGGGAGCCAACAGAGGTGCCCAAATCCAGTCAGGGCACCCCAGGAAACCCCTTTTTTCTTCCATTGGTCATTTTTTAAATGAAAATTCTTTTCTTTTTTTATTTCTAAGGAAAAAGGGTCCCACCACGGGGTTTTTCTCACACTTGGAGCATGAGGCAGATGGCCCATCAGTGTAGGCTCACCCATGGATGAGGAATCCCACAGGAAAGAGGAGCTGCTCTCAGGTAAATCCCAATGACGACGTGTAGGTCGTCAAAAAATGAAAATTCCTGGGGAGGAGAGAAATTAAAATAACGAGCCAACAAAAGGAGTTTGGCCAGACACAATCCTCTAACAAGAATGGACTTTGAAATTATGGTTATTAGCAAGGTTTCATTCCAGCAGCAGTTAAAGAAGCTTTAGAAGGTACTGCAATTAATTTGTACGTTTATATTACACATTATAACGCGAGGGGCCATTAACGAGGTGGTGACATTAAATTTAATGGACTTGGTGAATGGGACACTCTGTCTCTCCCTCCTGGGTGTATTCCCTGCACGGCTGGGGTTTGGTGCTCCTGGATTTCTCCGCAGGGACAGCAATTCCGTGGCTGTTCCAGACGTCGGGGAGGACCCTCCAGCACTGGGGAGTGGGGGGGGTGTTGTGATTCCAGGCTGGTTCTGGGGGACACTGGTGGGAAGCAAAGCCTTGCCCCCAGTTTTGTGGCACGGCCAACAAGGCTCAGATGAACACCAGGAGAATATGAAACGTCTCATACCTATAACTTTAAATTAAAAAAGCAATGTGCTGTTTATTGGCGCTGCCGAGTGTCTCCGGAGCGGGAGGCTCATAAAGATCATATTACAGTACAAGCCATTATGCAAAGAGTTTACTATATATACATTTCTAAATGCTTCAGCAAACAGCAGCCTCCTTATGAGCAGAGCAGGATAACTGGTTCGTTTGGGGTAACAAATGATCCTTGATTTGATTTTAAATGCAATGACAGCAAAATTTATTTCTTATTTAATCACTTGCCAGAGCTGTTGAGGACGGGATGGTATTAAACTGCACAATGCAGCATATGACTACTGAATCAGTTGAAATAGGCATAAGAATATATTATGTTTATAGGATAGAAAAAGATTGTACAGCAATGCATATAACTAGAATGGGTATTTTTGTCATTTATACAGTGGCTTATATCATTATTCCTTCCCGCTTCCAATTTTTCAGTAATAAAAATACAGGGGATGTGATTCTCTTTGCATTACAGATAAAGCATCTTGATTCTTTATTAAATATTTTTATTAATCTGAAGTACTACAAAGCATTTGAGCAGATAAATCAGGCTCCCAATAGTCATTTCCTCTCTGCTATGGCTCTATAAAGTGGATTCATTTATGAGTGCGCAGCACCCGAAGAGAAGTTTTCCATATTCATTAATATGCTTCCTTATGCTCCTGTTTTTCTATCCCACTGTACCATGCAGAAGGGTCCCTAAAACAAGACAGGTCTTGGAAACCCACTCTGTGGTCCCTGCCTGGTTTTGTGTCCGATTTAATGAGGAATCACTGCTCAAGCAGCACTCACAGCCCCAAGTGGGAGGATGCTCGGGATCCCTCCAGCTCCAGCTCCCCCAGTCCCAGCAGGAGGATGCCCAAGGTCTCTCTAGCTCCAGTTCTCCCAGTCCCAGTGGGAAGATGCCTGGAGTATCTCCACGTCCAGCTCCCACAGCCCCAGTGAGCGAATGCCCAGGGTCTCTCCAGCTTCCTCAGCCCCAGCAGTATGATGCCTGGGATCTCTCCAGCTCCCTCAG